CTGGACATGGAGCCGGAAGGACCTCCAGCGGAACCTCCATCGGCATAGGACATGGGATTGGCAGGACCCCCGGCAGGAGAGTAGACGGCGGGACCCCCAACGGGACAGGACATGGGATTGGCAGGACCCCCGGCAGGAGAGTAGACGGCGGGACCTCCAACGAGACAGACATGGAGTTGGCAGGACCCCCAGCGGAACCTCCAACGGACCAGGACATTGGGTAGGGACTTGAGACGTGACTCAAGTAGGGACTCGAGAGGAGACTCGAGAGGGGAACCAAGGGGGAACTCGAGAGGGGAACCAAGGGGGAACTCGAGAGGGGACTCGAGAGGAGACTCGAGAAGAGACTCAAGAGGGGAACTAGAGAGGGGACTCCAGAGGGGACTAGAGGAGGGAACTCGAGAGGGGACTCCAGAGGGGACTAGAGGAGAGACTAGAGGAGAGACTAGAGGAGGGACTAGAGGAGGGACTAGAGGAGGGACTAGAGGAGGAACTAGAGAAGGGAACTCGAGAGGGGACTCGAGAGGGGAACTAGAGAGGGGACTCGAGGAGGGACTAGAGGAGGGACTAAAGGAGGGACTAGAGGAGGGACTAAAGGAGGGACTAGAGGAGGGAACTTGAGAGGGAACTCGAGAGGGGACTGGAGAGGGGACTCCAGAGGGGACTAGAGGAGAGACTAGAGGAGGGGCTAGAGAAGGGACTCGAGAGGGGACTCGAGGGGGAACTGGAGAGGGGACTGTGGCAGCTGGGGCCGGGACTGGGGCCGGGACCATGGCTGCTCGGGCCAGAACTGGGGCTGAAACCATGGCTGCTGGGGACTGTACTAGGTCTGGAACCATGGCCGGAAATATGGCTGTATGATCCAGTTCTGAAGCCAGAAACATGGCTGTATGGGCCGGCTCTGGAGCCGGAATTGAAGCCAGAATCATGGCTGTAAGGTCCGGTTCTGAAGCCGGAAACATGGCTGTAAGGTCCGGTTCTGAAGCCGGAAACATGGCTGTAAGATCCCGTTCTGAAGCCGGAAACATGGCTGTATGGGCCGGCTCTGGAGCCGGAACCATGGCTGCTAGGACCGGTACCTGAGTACGAGCTGGCTTCCTGACCTTGCGTCTTTTAGAAGTCTTTTGGAGGCTCCGTGGACCTCCAAACGCCAGGCGGGATCCCAAGAAAGGGTCAGAGAATGGAGACTGGCACTCAGGGCTGCGTGAGAAAACTCTGAGAAACTCAGGCAATGAGCCTCTCAACCATGGCATGTTGTCCACCTCCATTTGTGCCTTTTTGAGGACAGCCTCTTCTGTCCCTTTTAGCCAAGGTTCTACTCCATTCAGCATAATGACACTGAAGAGTGTACTATAGGGATAACAAGTCCAAATCAAAATCCGCTTGGTCCATTATTGGTCGGTTCGTAATGTTACGGTGTGCAGGAAGCAGGACCCAAATGCAGATTTAAGTGACAAAATAATTCCTTTATTTCAAGGCTACAATATTCAGAGACAGAACAGAACACTCACCGCAGTTTACTCACAACACAAGCAGATCCTAACAGTATTTTGCATATCTCTCAGTAGCCAACGATCTGTGAGTCTGTTTGCTCGGACATAAACTCCGTAATAAATGTAGTCTACATTTCATTAGAGTTGTAAAACCTGAGAGCATTTTAAATCGCATTTGAACTAAATGCTTATATAATCTGTAGTAAGGCAAGGCAAGGCAAGTTTATTTATATAGCACCTTTCAACACAAGGCAATTCAAAGTGCTTTACAAAAAACGAAAGACATTAAGAAAATGGCATTTAAAATCAGTCATTAAAAAGAAAAGATAATAAAATAAACATTAAAAGAAAAAAATACATGGATAAAAGTTGCAATGCAGTCTAAGATGTGAATAGTTCAATTAAAAGCAGCGGCAAAAAGAAAAGTATTTAGTCTGGATTTAAAAGTAGTCAGAGTTGCAGCGGACCTGCAGTTTTCTGGGAGTTTGTTCCAGATATTTGGAGCATAATAACTAAATACTGCTTTTCCATGTTTAGTTCTGACTCTGGGGACAGAAAGCTGACCAATCCCTGAAGACCTGAGAGATCTGGATGGTTCATAATTTAGCAGTAGGTCAGAAATGTATTTTGGGCCTAAACCATTCAAAGCTTTATAAACCAGCAGCAGTATTTTGAAATCTATTCTTTGAGACTTCAGAACAGGAGTGATGTGATCCACTTTCTTCGTGTTCGTGAGGACTCGAGCAGCGGCGTTCTGAATCAGCTGCAGCTTCCTAATAGATTGTTTAGTGAGACCTGCAAAGACACCATTACAGTAGTCCAGTGTAGTAGGGTTGTAACGACGATATACCGAATATCGCGGTAAACAAACGGCTCAATACCGTCGTGAGACTGACAAAATCTACCACGATATTACATGGTTCATTCCTCACCTTATTGGAAAAAACTGTACTGTTTTTGTTTGAACAGCAGAGGGTGCCATAATACTAGTCAAGAAGACAGACTCCCATCATCCTTTGCGTGCAAGCAAGCGTGCTCCAAGCCCCCAGGAAGTGCGCCGGACTCAGATGAAAATATTCGTGCTGGCCAAACGGCGGTACTACACTTCCGTTTGGTTGCCAGGCCCGGAAACACTTTTTCCCATTGACTTACATGGGGAAAGAGTGGTCTGTAACTCGTTGGATAATTTTTTTTAAACTAAATAAATTACCCAGTATGAATACTTGTATAGCCCTTATTAAAAACATTCGTTCCTCAAGTTGTTAAAATGTGCTAATAACGTTATTCTGAGAGTTATTTCCCTCTGCATTATGAACGCGCATCTAACCCACGGGACCGCGCCGCCCGGCACGTTCATGTTACGTGTCCCGACCAATCAGAGCACACTGTGCTTACAGGGAGGGTGGGGCTGGAGCTATTGGAGCTACAACGAGCCGTTAAAGGCAGAGTGAAATTCAGTGAATACACGTAGTTTACAGAGATGCTGTATGAGAAACCAATGTGAGTTGCGTTTATCTTTACCCATGGATGCACAATAAGAACGGATCCATATCGTCTTACTGCCATCCCACGGAGCTGTAATAATGGATATATTGCACATGTTTGCTGTAATTCATTATCATACTACATGGGCTGTATGATTAAATCTTGTACCGTAAATGTTGTATTAAATAAAGTTAATATTACCGACATTATTAACGTCCCTGTAGCTTCGTATTGCACTAAGAAGCTTATTGCACTGTATATACATATATATATATATACAGTGCAATAATTATTTCATGCTAAATGAAGCTCTGTTGGATATCACTAGATCCTGTTACAGCGTAATATAAGTACATAACGATTGATGTGTACATTAGCATCATTACTAGCTAGCCGCTAGCTGCTAACTGCCGCCTCGTTCATATCAAATCCATGATAACAACAATCCATTACCATGCTGTCATGAACGTGCGGTGCTGTTACGTGTACGCAATTTGACGTGCTTGATGTGAACGAGCATTTTGGTTAAAGTTGCGCATGCTCTATGAGCGCACATACGGGTACTTCTCAGGCATGCTGGGTAATCTGTGACGTTTCACTCTCTCAAAAGGTGGGCCATTTTATCATCATGCGCTAATGAGCAGCTCTCATAGGAATGAATGAGGCCCCGCCTCCCACGCTGTATCCAGTTCTTATTATACATCCATGGCTCTCACTCAGACCCAACGAGTTGACCAACAACTAAATGAAGAATGTGAAATTGAGGATGCTCCATTGAGTTTTAAAGCTGATGTGTGGCAGCATTTCGGTTTTCCAGTTTCAATAAATGACAATGGTGAAAAGCAAACTGACAAACGCAAAACTATTTGCAAATCCTGCCGGGCAACGGTCAACTACAATTCGGGAAATACATCCAACATGAGAAGTCATTTGTCAAATCGCCACCCAGAAAAGCTCCGACCACAACAACCTGCTGTGAGTAAAAAGCGTAAGCCAGGCCAACTGACTCTGAACATGGGCGGCGCCAGGATTTTTTTGCTGCAGTAGTTTAGCAGTTGCTATATGACAGCACGGCGTTGCTAGTTAATTTTCAAAATAAACAAACAATACCAGTGGGCCAAGCACGAGCCTGTTCATATTGTAGCGTTCACCGCTATTGAAGATCACTCAAGCCTTCAATGTCGAAAACGTTCTCTTTATTTACAGAACCAATCAATAGTGTAACACTCATGACTTTCACATGACACACACCGGAAAACACATACACACACCTGGAAGGGGCGGTCTCTCCCTAACTCCCTGCTACACACTGTCATATAGCAACTGCTAAGCTACTGCAGCAAAAAAATCCTGGCGCCGCCCATGTCCCTGACCATATTTGACATCAGCTCAATTAGCTCATCTTGTATGTCGTGGTGTGTGTACTTTGCATTTCTCGGATTATCGGATATTTTTTTTGCCACAGTTTTGTCAAATTTGCCAATCAGGTCTAAAACTTCGATGAAGTTTCCCCTGTTGTTTGATGATGCTTCACTCTCCCTATGCCCTCGTTGTGCAATGGTTTGACACGCAGTGTAACGCAATGCTTCCACAACTGCCCGCATATATTCCCTGTTTTCACATACAGTTTTTGAATGTCCCTCGCTGAGTGCATTGCTGATTTTTGAGCCACTCTCTTTCCTTAATTTAAATTCAGACCATGCATCCATGGCACATTTATGTCCACTGCTCACATCATGAGTAATGAATGACTGCGTAGCTTTCACCCAGGTGCTAAATCCGTCATGGGTAAAGGCGGTTTCTTTATGGAACCGGCGTCCTTCATGAGCAAAATGCCTGCAGGCAAAACACAATACACTGTCCATAGTCATTGAGTACTCTAGCCAAGTATATTGCTCGTACCATCGGCGATTGAATGACCGCATTTGCAGTCCGTACTTCTTTGACGGGTATTTTCTCAGCATAGGACGTCTTGGTCCCAGTGGCGTAGCGGAGGCCCCCGCACCCCCCGCGGTGCGGGGGAGCCCCGGAGCTTAGGGGGCCCCGCCCCCACTGTAGGCTATCCTCTTAGATTTCGTAACGCGGGAACAGGGTGCAGAGGGCGGGCCCCCCCCCTCCCTGCTATGTTGCTACGTCATGTGTACGCTGCCTGTAGTAGTACAACAGTGTATCATTATAATTATTTGCTCATCTGCGATAGGGCTAGCCGGCTGATAACTAATGTTCATTGGCAGGCTGGGCAGCGTTCAAAACAAAGCGGGAAGCATTGCTCATATAAATAACGTTCATTAGTTGCGTTGCCGGTAAACATGAAAAATGAAGCGCCACTACCCAAGCGGTGCTCAGAAAAGCAAAATGAGAGCGAAAGCCGAACAGGAGAGGGCAAAACTACCTAAAATAACGTCATTGTTCCGGCAGGCAGCAAAGGTAGACGTAGACTCTAACGTTACTGCAGATAGACCGCTAGCAACCCCCCCCGGCCCCCGGCCGTCAGCTCCGAGTCCAGGCAGACAGCCCAGCAGCCCCGTTACAGCCGAGCCAGCTAGTCGTGCCTCGCGCTTCGAGACAGGTTAGACATTAGAATAATATAAAGTTTTATTCGCCATAACCAGTATGCTACAGGTTACATTGGAATTGGAATCTAATCCGTTCATTTTTGCAGGTCAGCAAGAAGTCAGCTGTGCCCCCTCCGAGGCCAGTTCAGACATAGGCATAGACAAGGCTGCCCAGCCAGCTAGCCGTGCCCCCACAGACCCCAGCAGCCCCGTTACAGCCGAGCCAGCTAGTCGTGCCTCACGCTTCGAGACAGGTTAGAATAATAGAAAGTTTTATTCGCCAATCGCCATAAACAGTACGAGTCAGTATGCTACAGGTTACATTGGAATTGCAATATAATCCGTTCCTTTTTGCAGGTCAGCAAGAAGTCAGCTGTGCCCCCTCCGAGGCCAGTTCAGACATAGCCAAGGTTGCCCAGCCAGCTAGCCGTGCCCCGACAGTGACAGCAGCTCCCACCCACCCCAGGGACACGTTGGCCAGCGACAACTCTGTGACTGAATACCCTACTGATAGGGGGAAATTCCCTGTAGATTTAGAAGACGATGATGTTAAACGGTACATTCTGAATAACGGGCCATGCAAGCCTGAAGGGCCATTCAAAAGGGATGGGAAGGGAAGGTGCTTTTCAAAAGAGTTCTATAACAAAACATCCAAAATTGGATGTAGAATTCCACGAAAGTGGCTATGTTACTCGCCATCTATGGACCGGGTGTACTGTGAGCAGTGCTGGCTGTTCGGTGACAGACCGTCTGCCCATCACCTCCACCAAGCGTGGAGAATAGGAATAAATGATTGGCAGGGTCTCTCTAAAAAGATTAAGGAACACGAATTCTCTCGCTCTCATTTGGCAGCATGTGTCGTGTATGATACGTGGAAAAATAATCTGACCATTGACGCGCAAATATCATCTGAGTTTAAGAGAGAGGTGGGGTTTTGGACCGAGGTCCTAACCAGAATAACTGATGTTACACTAACACTGGCCTCTCGCAACTCTGCTTTCCGGGGTCACAGAGAGAAAATAGGTGATATAGATAATGGTAATTTCTTATCTACCATAGAACTTATGGCGCGTTATGATCCAGTTCTGCAAAGGCTTATTGAAAGCAAAAAGAAGGTGCACTACCTAAGTCCTCAAACTCAAAACGAAATAATTTCATTGCTATCGAAAAAAGTGCAGGACACAATCATTACAGACATACAGAATGCAGAATTCTATTCGATTATAATGGATACTACCCAGGACATTTCAAAAGTAGACCAACTGAGTCAAGTGTTCAGATATGTTACTATAGCAAATGATGAAAATGGAAACCCTACAGAGGTGAAAATAAACGAAAGTTTTTTGGGCTTCCATGCAGTCACAGACCAAACTGCTGCAGGTCTAGAGAGAGAAATTCTCGAATCGATGGAGAGAAAGGGGATACTACTTGGGAAGTGCCGCGGACAAGGATATGACGGGGCTAGCAATATGAGTGGCGTCTACTCCGGTGTACAAAAACGCATAAGGGATAAAGAGCCCAACGCAGTGTACATTCATTGTGCTGCGCACAATTTAAACCTTGTACTCAATGACGCATGCCAAAATATACCTGAGATAAAAGACTTCTACGACACTGTTGAAAGGCTATATGTATTCTTTAGTGGAAGCATCAAACGATGGGAGCTTTTGGAAACACACCTCTCAGTGCCCAAGGCTGGCCAGCCTACACTGAAGAGACTATGCCCGACACGATGGGCATCAAGACAAGACGCCGTCCAATCATTGCGGTTCCGTTATGCTGACATTATGCAAGCGCTAACTAAGATAGACTTGCTCTCCAAAAAAAGCGAGGAACGTGCCGAGGCGACTGGCTTGAAAAAGGCCATGGAGAGCTTTGAGTTTGTTGTAATGACTGTAATACAGGGCAAGGTCCTTGAAACAGTCAACATTGTGTCCCAAGCTCTCCAGCGCAAAGACGTGGACCTCTTACAGGCGACAGCAATGCTTGGTAACGCAACCGATACACTTGCCCAACTCCGAGGAGAGTTTGATGGCTTAAAAGCGCACGCGCAAGACCTGGCATCCTCATGGGGTGTCCACAGTCTCTTCAAAGACAGACGCGCAAGGCGCACAAAGAGGCACTTTTCAGAGCTTTGCGAGGACCAGCGGCTCCAAGACCCAGGGGAGCATTTTAGAGTGGCGGTATTTTACGCAAATATCGATATTGTCGTTGCCCAACTCAAAAATCGATTTGTTGGAATGAGCGAAGTTGCACAGCGATTTTCTTTTCTGCTTCCCCGCGAACTTTTGCGCGCAACAGACAAGGATCTGTCTGAGTCCGCAAGTGCTTTATCAGGCCAGTATAAAGACGACCTGTCAGCCGAGTTTCCTTTCCAGATCCTGTCCCTCCGTAATGCTCTTAGGCCTACTATAAAGGAAATTGAGCGTGGAACAATCAAAGACCTTGCACAAACCCTGCTCATTGAAAATCAGTCCATTTTGCCAAGTATCCCCGATGTTGCCACAGCACTGAAATTGTTTTTAACTATACCCGTGACTGTTGCCAGTGCTGAGAGATCTTTCTCAAAACTTAAATTAATAAAGACATATTTGAGGAGCACAATGTCGCAAGAGAGACTGTCTGGGTTAGCAGTCCTTAGTATTGAGAGCTGACGCGCACGCAGTATAGATTTAAAGACTGTTATACAGGACTTTGCGCAGAAGAATGCCAGGAGACGTGCTCGTATAAAATAATAGGCCTACAAAGCAGCTCCTGATTGCATCCTCTTTGTAGCCTATATAGGATGTGTTTTATTTGCTTGTTTTTTGTAGGCTACTTTTCTTTTATACAGAATGTTATGTGAACCGTTCCGTTGTGTGAACTCCAATGATGATAGGCTATAACGTTCTACAATATACCTTCATGTTACAAAAAATACACAGCCACTTGTTTGTATTTGTCAATTATGTTTCAATCAGATGTATATTATTATACAGTTCCTACTGACCTTACTGTTTAAATCAGATGTATATTATACAGAAAGTTCCTACTGACCCTATACTGTTTAAATCAGATGTATCTATACAGAAAGTTCCTACTGACCTATAGGCCTACTGTTTACAAAAGATGCCTGAAAAAATAAACATTTAAAAAAGTGGCCGCGATGTCTATCCCATGTCACTCTATTATTGATTTAGGGGAGGGGGCGGGGCCCCATGGTCCGACCTGCGGGGGATCCCCGAAATATTGCGCAACGCCACTGCTTGGTCCATCACAGGCTGACTGGCTGATGTCAATTACGGTGCGGAGAGGAGCAGCGCTAGTTCCACTAGTTCCACTGCAGCTCGTGGTAGCAGCTAGCTGGTCCTGCTGCTGCGGGTGCAGCGGGTCAGTTGGCGGGGGCACCTGTTCTTCGTGGTCCCAATCCTCCCGGTTTTCATAGTGAACATCGGGATCCTTGTGGATAGCAGGGTTGTCCGGCTGGACCGGCTCCGTTGGAGATCGCGGTCGTTTACGCTGACTTGTGACTGAGAAATGTTTCCATTTTTGATACTGAGAATTAGCCAAGTAACAGTTCACGCAGTAAATTACAACGACCCGCCCCTGATAGATCCCGCGAAAATGTATCATATTTATACACATTCTCGCGGGCTGCGAGAATGTGTATAAATATGATACATTTTCATATCAAAACAATGGGGTTGCTAAGCCGTTGCTAGGCCAATTGTTGGAGTTGCTATAGCGCCGCCCCTGACTCTGAAAGAAGTATTTGGAGCCCCACTTCCCCCTAACAGTCCAAGAGCTGAGGAAATAACAAGATGCATCGGCGAGTACATGGCCAAAGACTTAAGGCCGTTTTCTGTGGTCGACAACGGTGGATTTAGGAGGTTAGTTAACACGCTGGAGCCCAAGTATGCCATTCCATCACGGTCCTATTTTAGTCGAACAGTGCTACCAGCTCTGTACAAAGAGACAAAAGCTAAAGTGACACAGAGCCTCAAAGAAGTAGAGGGCATCTCAATAACCACAGATGGATGGACTTCACGAGCTTCGCAGAGCTATATTACAGTCACAGCTCATGTTATGACCAGCGAATGGGAAATTAAAAGTGTTGTCTTACAGACTAGGGGTGGGCGGATCGATCCCAAAATATCGATACCTCCGATATTACGTTACGTTTCAAAATATCGATACTAGAGCCAATAGGATCGATACTGTTATACTTTTTTTCTCGTCTCCTCTACTCGTCAATTTCTTCAAAAAACTATGTGCAGACGAACACAAGTATATGCTCTTTTCTTCTCTCTCCACTGCTGTCCTCTTCTCCTCGAGGCAGGGGCGGATCTAGACAAATATTGATGGGGTGGCAAGAGGGTGGCAGGAGATTTTGAGGGGTGGCATCCCCTGACAGAAGTATATGCTGATTTAAATCGCAATCATATTAATCAATTAGGGGTGTAACGGTACACGTACCAGTACTGAAATTATTCGGTACGGGCCCTTCGGTTCGGTACACGTGTGTACCGAACGAATATAGCGTTAAACGTAAAAAATTGAGAACATGAACAACTTTCTGGAAGTAATCTCAGGTATATATCATAGAGCGACCAAGTCATTTCATTGGACGAGAGGCATACTATGAGAGCTGGTCACAGGGATGCGTTCAAATGTAGTCAGTAATTTGAGGAACTGTCGAAATGGCGAACGCAGATAAAGTTGAGCTGAAAATCCTCCAGCATCATTGAAGTCTCCGGTTTGGGAACATTTTGGTTTCGCAGTTACGTACAAGGATGACGGACAAAGACAGGTGGACCGAACCAAAGCTGTTTTTTCGGCATTGTTCAACTAACATTGGTTACGCGGCTGGCAATACATCACACTCATTTGAAAAGGCATCACCCGAATGTGAATATCACCGGTACCAAAAGAAAAAAGACTGAAGTGCAAAACCAACTCCCACTAGGATGTAAGCCTCCACCACTCGCAGAAAGTTCAGACCGAACCAAAGCTATTACAAACGCCAAATATCCTTATGTTGCCATGTTAGCAAAGCGCTACCTGGCTGTATCTGCTACCTCTGTCCCTAGAGAGGGTGTTCTCCACAGCAGGAGACATTGTTAGTGCCAGCAGATCTGCCATTTCAGCAAGCAATGTGGACAAGTTCATCTTTCTTTAAACAACATGAAATACAATGACAAGCAAGTCCTAATGTCAAGCTGGCTGCTTAGGTACTAGTTCAGTTCAAATACAGATTATTTCAGTTCATCGAAATGCTGCACCTTAATGTTTATTTTACTATATGTTGTATTTATTTGAATCCATTAGTCACAGTTTAACACAAATTAAAAAAATGTTTTTAATGTTTTGTGATAATTGTTTCTGCTTTACCGAAAACGTAACGAACCGAACCGAACCGTGACCTAAAAAACGAGGTACGTACCGAACCGAAATGTTTGTGAACCGTTACACCCCTACAATCAATGTTAACTTGGAAAGCCACAATATTAATATTTTAACTCAATCACATAGGTGATATTATTGTGGCACATCAGTAAAGCCTTATAAGGTGGCAGACGTAATTTAATGAATTTTAACTGAACATTAACTGAATGAGTTTGTTTCACTCTTAGACCAGCAGGGGTACCAAATCTATGCAGACTGCTGCAATAAGTACATTAATTAACTGTCTCATCGATGTTTGTCTGAATGAATATGATACTATTAACAATCATATTGTTCCTATCAGCTGTTAGGAACAAATTAAATCTATTATTATTATTATTAACAGAACAGTGATTGCACTGTTAATAAATAATAATAATAATAATAATAGATTTAATTTGTTAGCGTTTTTACAGGTGCTCAAAGACGCTTTACAGATATAGTGAAGAACTGTTATGATTCACATATTCATTTATCATTGAATAAACTATATTTTTTGGAGGAGTTAATGATGAATGTTCATCAAGATGCTTGCTCACCCTCCTTCAAATTTGAAAAACAAGTAATTATATCATTATTGATATACAGTTACAACCTTGACTTTACATCAGAAAGAACAAACATTAAAGAAGTGACTAACTGCATCAGTTAGGGTTAAAAAACGTGTATTCAGCTAAAACATCGCTGCAGTTATTATCCAGTGGAAGGTCCTTACCTACTGGCCTAGTAAAATCAAAGTGGTTACTTTCTGTTGGCTGGGCAGTGTAGTTTTACACACAGTCTTATTTTACTTTCTCAGGACTTAAAACTGTTTTTTGGGGGCAGACCCCCTCAAAGAAAAATATATATACACGCATACAAGGTCATCATCTTAACAGTTTGTTATTCTCATCTAGTCATCCGTGAGCAGAGCATCAAGTTGGCATGTCTATTACAGCTGAATGCGGCGATTACTATTTTGTTCAGCAAAACGCCTCACAAACTTATTAAGATCAACAGCTGTAGTGCGTTTTGATTCAAAGCTGAGTACAGCCAAACTTGACATTCTCTTCTCTGTCAGTGTAGACCGCAATTACCTCATTCCTTCAGTACTTTTGTCCGAAAGGCTTCTCGTTTTGCGCCGTCCCGTTCAAGTGAATTCGCCACCAATCATAATTCCACTCTCGCGCCAGGACCGGGGGAGGGGTTACATGACGTGCATCTTGTGCTGCATTCACTTGCACTCGGACATTAGAGACTTTCTCTCATAAATGTCCGATGAGCCACAACTTTTCTTTCAAAACAAAGATGCCAACTGGGGTGGCAGCTGGGGTGGCAAGGCTATTGTTTAGGGTGGCATTTGCCACCCCATGCCACCCCGGTAGATCCGCCCCTGCCTCGAGGCTTCCTGCCTGAACGCCGATTATCAAGCTGACTGACAGCAGCCAGCAGGGCAGGACAGCAGCAGCCAGCGACTCGCGAGTGCAACACACACACGCGCATGATGACTGAGAGAAAGAGCAGCGTTGTGTGGAGCAATTTCACAACTGGCCATTAAAACTTAGCGAACTGTGATGTGTGCAAGAAGACAGTTCGCTACTTTGGCCACTTTGTATTGTTATTTTTCATGTTTGCACTTTAAATTTGCAAAAGTAAAACGTGTATTTGTCTATAAAAACTGTCCTGTCTTTATTCATGAAAATGAATTCAGATTTAGTCTATTTATGATGATTTCAGCTCAAAAATCATGTCATGCAGCTCTCCCCTATATGAAGTACATAAGACGCTTTTCATTAAAAAAAAGTATCGGTATCGATATCGGTATCGGCGATACTGGCCCTGAAATACTTGGTATCGGATCGAATCCATATTTTGTGGTATCGCCCACCCCTATTACAGACGCAGCCTCTTTTCACATCACACACTGGACTCAACATAGCTGAGGTGTTAACATCTGCTGTTTTGGAGTGGGGGATCAACATGACGAGCAACAACAATCAAGGCATTGCTGTCGTAACAGACAACACACGGAATACGGATGTAGCGGTGAGAGAGGCTCGACTTTCCTCACACATATAGTGTTTTGCACACACTTTAAACCTCGCGTCAAAAGCGGGTTTGAACGTAACCCGGGTAAGCCGTCTGCTTGGTAGAGTGAGGCGTGTAGCTGCGTTTTTTCACCGCAGTTCAACTGCAACAGCTGTTCTGGCCACCAAACAGGGAATGTTAAACCTGCCAGCGCATAAACTGATCATGGATGTGGTCACAAGATGGAACAGCTCGCTTGACATACTCGAGCGCTACCTGGAGCAACAACAAGCAATCGCTGCAATGCTACTGAGTGCTGAAGTCAGGCGCAACGCAAGCGAGATAGACACTCTGGTACCAGCTGACATCACGGACGCCGAGGACATGGTTTGGCTTCTCTCACCGCTTACAAAAGCAACCACCGTGCTGTGCGATGAGTCTCAACCAGTCTCTCTCATTGTGTCCCTCAAGCACATGATAGAACAAAGCATGGCACAGTGCGATGAGGACTCCTCCACCATCGCCCAAATTAAGAGAGCCATACTGAAGGACTTCACAGACAGATACCAAGGGGAGCAAAACAAGTTTCTGCAAGAAAGCACTGCGTTGGACCCCCGGTTCCGGAGCTTGCAGCAGCTAAATGACAGTCAAAGGGAGGACGTTTTCGACAGGCTGAAGTTGAAAGCCACACAGATTCAGAACCAGGTACATATTTAAATGTTCTTTGTGTACTGTCTGTAACTTGTTCAGATAACGAATAAGTTGTGTGTATGTATCTGTTGTTTTTTGCCTAAATCCTACCGGCCCACATTTGTGTGTTTTCCGGCCACTCCCTTTCATTTTTTTTTGCTTACCTAAATCCTACCGGCCCACATTTGTAAGTGTTCCGGCCCAGCCCAGCCCAGCCCAGTGGGGGTTGGCAGGGAAACGGGGTTCAGGGGGAGTGGCTGTACGGCTGTACGTCTGACTCAGAGGTTGCGCGGCTGTGGAGAAGAACGTGTTGCCCACATTCTGTTACTGAGTTTAGGCTAGTTAGCTAGCTGGTTTATTGTTTTGGGTGCAGTCACTTTTGCCTCCACTTG